CCGCGTGGGATCTTGGGCACGCACGCACACGCGCCCGGCGTGAGTTTTAAGCCACCGGGTCCGGGATGTGAACCGCGGTCGACTACGTGGGAGTCCAGCGACATAGCCATTACGCTAACTGCTGGTTCCCAATGAATAAATTTTTAAAAAGCGATACAATAAATAATTTTGTATATTGGTCATTTCACACTTATGCATATCTTTTTTCCTAGAATTATTTAATTTTTAAAAATTTATTCACTCATTTTTTAAAAATTTGGCCAGAGAGAAAGAGATGAGAGAAAGTGAGAAAGCAAGTCACCAGCTCTAGGACTCAAACTGTGGTTGGCCATGTGGGAGTTTCTAGCACCTTAACTACCATGCCACCTGCTGGTCTCCCACATATGCATATCTTAAAATAAATTTCTAGAAATAGAATTACTGGATCAAGAAGTAAATTTGTGGGACCAGCAGTTAGCATAATGGCTATGTCGCTGGACTCCCATGTAGTCGCCCGCGGTTTGCGTCCTGGACCTGGGGGCTTAAAACTCATGCTGGGTGCGTGAGCGTGCGTGCCCAAGATCCCGAGAGGAGAATGGAGGAGAAGGGATTGCGGCGTGGCCATCCCCCCTGGGGGGTGATTTCTCGCTTTCTGTCTCTGTCTCTCTGTGTGTCTGGTGAGCGCACATGCCCTATAGCAAAAACCTCTCCAAAAAAAAAAAAAGTAGTAGTAAATTTGTAATTAAGTATATGTGAAAACATTAAAGGAATTCACTAATGTTTTTCACTCCCCCCCCTTTTTTTTAATTGTCCAAGGGCATATGTACTTGTGAGAGACAGGAAGGCAGAGAGGGAGAAAAGCACCCCCCACTGGGATATGATAACAGCACAGTCCCTTTTCCATTTCTGCACACCTCGTGTGCTGATCCTTTCTTTCTTTTTTTTTTTTTCAAGTTGCTGGGACTGAGATTTGAACCTCAGTTGGCCATGTGGGATCTGACTCCTTTAACCATGAGGCTGTGGGACCGTCCAGCTTTTTTTCCCCTTAATTGATAATTAGAATAATCAGAGAAGTGAGAAAAATGGGGAGAACCCCTCTAAAAAAGAAGAAAAGTCAGACATGGGTTACTAATGGAAACGGATACTATTACTACCTTGATAGTTGTTCTTGGCCATTCTTGTATATATCTAGTTCTTGCATTTATCTTGATGCCAAAATAAGGTCTGAGGACCATAGAGGGAAAAAAAGTTGACATCTCTTTCATTTCTTTTTCATTATAATTTTTTCTGAAATCATTAGATGCTAAGCTTTAGAATTTCACAGATGGCTTAGAAAAATAATGGAGAATGAGTCAAATAAGAAAGTAGAAGATAACACTTTTTTTTCCCTTTTATGTTAGGCATAACTCATTCTTTACTGTAGGCCTAAGGAATTTCTGAGACTCTAGATTTGATTAAAAAAACATGTTTATTAGTTTATCTCAATTTTTATATGAATTGATTCAATGTCATTTTTTAAAGTATTAAACTTTTTTTTAAAATTAGAAATATATAAACCCTGATTAAAGAATGCTTCTAGCTTTGCTGGTAGAAGTATTGTTAGATCCTATCTTAAATATTTAACATTTTAGTTACCATTACATTATTCATTAGTTGTTTATATTTAGGACTTAGACTAGAAGGTGAATTCCAGAGACTCAAGACCTTCTCCTCTTTGTTTTTATATTCCTATTTCTTACTGTATGACTTGGCGTGGAAATCCAGGAAATGTTTATTGAATTAATGAACTGTTGTAACTCAGTAATATAGATATTCTTGGATCACTTTGCTGTGCCTGATTGTTATTCTTGCATAATTCTTTTCTTGGGGGGGTAAGAGAATATCTAATTTTACATGCTAAATATCCTAGTACTCATGGCTTTTGTTAATTACTAAAGTATAACATCTGTTGTCAGAGAAACACTCTTGTGAGTATATATTTTTTCAACTTTACTCTCCATTTTTTTCCCATTTGGAATTGGCTTTGCCCCTTAACCTACTGGTAATAGAAAAAGATTGATGAACTATCATCGGAATATCAACTATATGCTGAAGGATCTTATTTTGCAAACCTGTAATTTCTTTCAGGAGGAGGCAAAACAGATTCAGAATTTGCAGAAGGCAGGTACCCGGACAGACTCAAGAGAGGATGAAATCTCTCCTCCTCCACCCAACCCAGTGGTTAAGGGTCGGAGGCGACGAGGTGCTATCAGTGCGGAAGTCTACACAGAGGAAGATGCTGCATCATATGTTAGAAAGGTAGTTTTGATATCTAAACATTGGGGGAATGCCACCTGGTTGGCATCTAGTCTCCTTTGATGAATAATCAAGTATGAAACAGGACCTAATCTGCCCTGTACAGTTCTTAGGTACAAGAGAACAGGTTTTAGTACTAGTATACTGTCAGAAGGAACAACTAGTGGTGATTACAGACTAGTGAATAATTGCATTTTGGGGATTCACATTTTCATGTAGCATAAAAAGCAGGTAGTCCTGCTTTTTCTCTTGAATCATGATGCCAGTTTTTGGATGTCCTGTTATTCATGTCGTGGATTTTAACCTTTTATCCTACAAGCTTCATTTGTCCCAGTCTACTCTTGCTCAGCCAGTCTGGCATTTTGAATTATACTAATAGCCTTAAGAGGGGACGAAATTATGCTGACATTCGACTCTTGTAAAACTTATAGTACATAATTGCAGTTTAAAAAATTATAATTGTTATAAAATACTTATTTTTGCTTCAGTTTAATGACCTTGGTCAAGGAATTTTTAGTTTGTTTCTTTAGTTAACTGGAAACCAACTACCAGCCTATAAATACAGGCCTGGGTGTAGGCAAGGGGATTAATTAGTCAATATTTGTTGAGTGCTTTGTGGATCAAAGATAGCACAGATGTGTTGTGAAAATATTTAAATCAAAGCAATCTTGTGTAAATACCATAATGTGGCTTGACATTTAATTGAAAAGCAGGTTGCAAGCATGAAATGTTTTTGGTTTATGGAATTGTCATTTGACCTTCAGTTCTTTTCTAGGTCATACCAAAAGATTATAAGACAATGGCAGCTTTAGCCAAAGCCATTGAAAAGAATGTGCTGTTTTCACATCTTGATGATAATGAGAGAAGGTAGGTACAAGCACTTTTTCACACTATTTTTCTAGTAGGTCTGTGGTCCCAAGCTATTCTCATGTTTGTTGCTGGTTTTAAGGCTTATAATATTATTGCTTAGGGACAACAGTTGGCGTGGTGGTTTAGGTGCTGGACTCCCACAAGGGCAGCCATGGTTTGAGTCCTAGACCTGATAGCTTGTTTTCTTGCTTCCCTCTCTCTCTTTCTCTCTCTGGTGAATTAAAAATTAAAAATATGTACATAATTCTTAAAATAAATATTGTCCTGGATGACAAGCAGGGTTGAAAATTGGGGAGCTTTAATTCTAAGATTAATGTTTGCGATCCACAGAAGAGACATGTGAAATGTAACACGAGGTGTGCTCTCTCTTGCAGTGATATTTTTGATGCCATGTTTCCAGTTTCCTTTATAGCTGGGGAGACTGTTATTCAGCAAGGTAAGGCTGCTATTTCTGTGGCACAAAGTATTGTTACGGGAAAGGAGGCAGGAGTGGAGTGTTTCGTTTTGTTTTAATGAAGTTTGTTTTCCTCTTTTATCCTATCATTTTTTTTCTGTTGTATTGGATTTTCCTGTTTTTTAAAATAAAATCTCAGAGCTCAGAGGAACACTTTAAGTAAGAGGCTAATATTTCTAACAGTTTTGTCTATTATACCGATTAAAAGTAATACCTGCATTTTTATTTTGAACATTTCATGAAATTCCAGAATCATGTATTTCATACATTCTTTATATTAACCACTTCTGAAATAAAGTAGGAAATAAATAAACTTCATTTTTTTAATCATACAGCCCATCTGTTTGTAAGATTCTATGCCTTCTAGAGATTCTTACCTTTTTTAAAAAATTATTTATGTATTTTTATTATTTAAATTTGCTATAAGGCATGTGTGCTCACCAGTGAGAGAGAGAAAGAGAGAGAGAGAGCAAGAGCAAGTTGCCAGGCCTGAGACTTGACCTGTGGTTGGCCATGTGGGAGTCTAGTGCCTTAACCACCACGCCACCTGCTGGCCCCAATATTCTTACCTTTTGCTCACATAGACTAACATGGATCTGATCTTTTGAATATCTTCTCCTTTCTTTCTTTCTTATTTATCCTTGACATTTTCATGGTTTTTCAAAAGCCGTCTATTTTTTCATAGCAATGTGATCTTTTGTTGTAACTATTTGAGTTGTTCCTTGTGTTATAGATGTCATTAGTTATTATTAACTCATAATTTTGTATACATATGTTGATTTTTCTTTTTGTGGGAGAGGTTTTTGCTATAGGGCGCGTGTGCTCGCCAGAAAGACAGAAAGAGTGACAGAAAGTGAGAAATCACCCCCCCCCGGGGAGACGGTCACGCCACAATCCTTTCTCCTCCATTCCCCTCTCAGGATCTTGGGCACACATGAATATGCACCCGGCGTGAGTTTAAGCCACTGGGTCTGGGACTCTAACCGTGGTCAACTGCATGGGAGTCCAGCGACATAGCCATTACATCAACTGCTCGTTCCTCCATATGTGATTTTTAAGGTTTTTTTTTTTTTGAGTTTTTTTTTTCTTTTTTGTCAGAAGATGCCTTAAAAAAAGGGATCACTTTTATGTCTTAAATTTCTTTTTTTTTTTGGAGAGATTTTCGCTATAGGGCGCATGTGCTCTCCAGACAGACAGAGAGAGACATAGAGACAGAAAGCGAGAAATCACCCCCCGGGGGGATGGTCACGCCACAATCCCTTCTCCTCCATTCTCCTCTCGGGATCTTGGGCACGCATGCACATGCGCCCGGCGTGAGTTCTAAGCCACCGGGTCTGGGACGTGAACCGCGGTCGACTACTTGGGAATCCAGTGACATAACCACGCTAACTGCTGGTTCCCACTTAAATTTCATTCCCTGAATGATTGTGTTAATTTATAACATACTTTTTTCTCATAGCACCTCTATGAGTTTCTTATTTTATATTAATTTTGTAGTTTCAGTTTGTTTTTATAATTTGAAACATTCTAACTATTTTGTCTTTCAGGTGATGAAGGGGATAACTTCTATGTGATTGATCAAGGAGAGATGGATGTAAGATATAGTAACCAAAATGGTGATAATCATAAAAATCAGTGTATTGATTTTTATTGCTTCTAAGTGACATCATTATTGTTTCTAAAGGGCTGACTATCACAGACCTGTATCTGAGTCCATCATTATCTTTTACCAAGTATTTTTTTTTAGGAGAGGTTTTTGCTATCGGCTGGGTGCGCTCGCCAGAAAGAGAGAAACAGAAAGCGAGAAATCACCCCCCAGGGGAGATGGCCACGCTGCAGTCCCTTCTCCATTCTCCTCTTGGGATCTTGAGCACGCACGCACTTGTGCTGGTGTGAGTTTAAGCTACCAAGTCCGGGACTCAGACCGTGGTTGGCTACATGGGAGTCCAGCGACGTAGCCGTTATGCCATCTGCTGGTCCCGTCAAGTGTTTTTACGACAAAAAACTTTTTCAAGATAATTTCTGTTGCCAGACAAGTAGCTTGGAACTTTTGCTGGAGTAGTGCTGAAGTGTGTGCGTGCTGTAAGAGGAATGTAAGGGAGGATCTGCACCCACCCAGTAGCTATGAGGCTAGAGGTAGTGTTTTTCACTCTGGAAGTCTTGATAACCATTGGAATGGAGACAGTAGAGGCATCGATTTCATAGGATTGGTAGAAAAATCAGTGACCCGATGAAAGTAAAACACTGAACACATGGTAGACCTGTTTCACATGGTAGTGTATGTGATCCGTATTAATGCTTAGCTAACTGTTTTCTCTGATTATCCCTAGAGAATACTTTTATTTATTTTTTTTACCAGAAAAGTAAACCAGGTAAATTGTAGACCCTTTTTTTTTTTTTTGCCATGAGATAGATAGACAGGAAAGGTGAGAAATCACCCCCTAGAAGGTATGGCCACATTGCAGTCCCTTCTCCATTCTCCTCCTGGGATTTTGTGCATGCATGCATAAGTACCCAGCATTATTTTCAAGCTGCTACATCTGGGACTTGAGCCACAGTCAGCCATCTGGTAGTCCAGCACCTTAACTACTGCACCACCTATTTACCCCAATTGTAGGCTCTCTTAATTTATTTAATTCAGTGTCAGAAAGTCAACTGTTTTATCCTGCTGTGTAACAAAAACATTCTATTTTTTAAATCAAAATTCACAATTTTGACCTTTTATAAAGATTTCAGGATTTTTAACACATTTGTGCATGCAGAAAACATTCTTTTACATTGTATGCATTTTAGGTCTATGTCAACAATGAATGGGCAACCAGTGTCGGGGAAGGAGGGAGCTTTGGAGAACTCGCTCTGATTTACGGAACACCTAGAGCAGCCACTGTCAAAGCAAAGACAAATGTGAAGTTGTGGGGTATCGACAGAGACAGCTATAGAAGGATCCTTATGGTAAGAGACTGGGTTTTTTTTGGAATGTGATATAGAATTTTGGCCTCTGTTACTATTTGTCTTTTTTTTTTTAAGTTTTGTTTTCTTCCATGAGAGATAGAAATAGGCACCCTAACAGGGTCCCCATGCCATGATCCACCCCTAGCCTCACCAGCCTGTATCATAGGCACATGTGCTCTCCCAGCCTGATGGGAGACATCCTGATGTCAACCTGGGACCTCTTCATGTGACCTTAGTATCACAGAGTGTTGTTATTGCTGTGCCCCCACAATTGACTGGTCTGTGTGGCTAATGTTTGAATATCAAAATAAAAGGAAACTATGCCTTCTAATCATGTCTTTTGCATTAAGCCCAATTTAGCATTATTAATTTTGCCATTTGAGGCAGTGATAGAGATATAGTTTTAAGGTTTATTTACTCTGTGAGAGAAACAGTAGAGACAGAGAGATAGGGAGATATGTACCCCTAACAGAGTCTTCATGCCATGATCCACCCTGTTCTCAGTCAGTGTGGCTCATGGGGCACACTTGCATGGCGTGCTCAGGGAGGTCCCAGGATGTGAGCCTGGACCTTTACCAAGTGAGTTATGTTGTGTTACTTATTACTGTACTTCCTGGACTGAGGCTAATGCTTTAGAACAAAAGTCTGATCAGACATAACATGGGAAACCAAATCTGGTATTTATATAAAGGTTAGTTTATGGTTGGAAATCTATCTATTTGCTGATAGGCACATCTTAACTTACCTAATCTTACCCATCACAGCTTGATAGGTGCTCCTTTATTTATTTATTTATTTATTTTGTTATTTTTTTTTTTATTGGAGAGATTTATGTTATAGGATGTGTATACTTGCCAGAGACACAGAAGGTGAAAAATCACCCCCTCAGAGGGCACGGCCACACTGCAACCCATTATCCTCTCTGGATTTTGGGCATGCATGCACATGTGCCTAGCGTGGGTTTCAAGCCACTGTGTCTGGGACTTGAACTTCAGTTGACCACGTGGGAATCCAGTACCTTAACCTCTATGTCACTTGCTGGGCCCAAAAGGTGTACCTTTCAAGTGCATAAAGTTATTTAAGGCCATTCAGAAAAAAATTAGCTTTCTTAAACTGGGAAAGTGGGTTATTAGTAATGCATAGGTTATTTCTCACTGAAGGAATAAACAAAAGAGTAAAACCATTGGAACATTTTGCTGGTATCATCAGGGTTTTTGAGACCTATGTGCTGTTTTTAGAGAAACTTTGATTAAGTCCCAGCTGATGGCATTGATAATTTTGAATAGTTTTCTTAAATTAGTGCAGTGCCCATCTGGCCATTTGAAAATATGCTGTTTGATGTACTTTTAAGTTTTCTAGTATTTGGGAAATATATGAATATATTGAATATTTCTTACCTGAAATGATGGAACCAGAAATGTTTGGGTTTCAGATACAGAATTTTGGAATATTTGCATATACTTCATGAATTGTCTTGGGGATGGAACCCAGATCTGAATACAAAATTCATTTATGTTGCATATATATCTTATACCCTGAGGGTAATTGTGTGCAGCATCTTTGTATTGCAGTGTTTTGACTGCCAGTCATCACATGAGGTCAGGTGTGAAATGTTCTACTTTGAGGCATCATGTTTACACTCAAAAGGTTTTGGATTTCGGATCAGTTTGTATTCTTTCTCTTTTTTTTTTTTTTTTTTTTTTGATTAGGGATGCTTAACATGTATTTTGAAATTTTTGTGTACTTTGAAAATTACCTGTCCCAACTATATGAAAATTTCTAAGTATACATCATATATATATACGTGCATGTGTTATACATTTGGCAGGGGGCCATATGAAGACAGTTTATCACATGAGGATCGTTTATTATAGAGTACTGTGTATTTCTTCCTATCTTTCCCCCATATGCATTTAACAAACTGCAGATTAGACAACTTGGTTAAGTTTAGAGCTATGGGGCACTTTTCTTTTCTTTTTTTTTTTGGTCTGTAAGTGATAGTTTATTTCCTTACTTCTGTGGGGGATTAGGATCGTAACCCTAATTATAGTCATAGGCTCTTAGACTGGGTATAAAGCCAACTGTAGTCTCATGTATTACTAGGTGGTTTTTTTGAGAACTGATTTTTGCTTATTTGACATTTTATTAAATGGTGATACTTTGAACTTCTTTCGGCCATATACGTGCTGTTCTTTGTAGGAACAATTTAAGAGCTTATTTGTAGAGCCGAAGAGAGACTCATGATCTTCAACATGAAGAAAAATACTCCTCACAGATCAAGATGCAGCAGCAGCAGCAGCAAACTTTGAAACTTTTCTGTTTTTAAAATTTACTTGTAGCCTAATGGTTATTATTCCACAGCATTATGGGATAATTACGTATTATGAGATATAACTTTTGTTACTTTCTTCATTTATAGGGAAGCACACTAAGAAAGCGGAAGATGTATGAGGAGTTCCTTAGTAAAGTGTCTATTTTAGGTGAGTTTTAAAGTGTTAATTTGATAGTATATGATAAACCTCTTCATTAGAAATTACTGTGGTTGGGAGAAGCTTTCTGAATGTATATGTTTTACTTCTTCATGAAGAAACAAAGTGTTATGTGTCCTCTTTATGACTGGACATTCAGTTACTTACACTGATTCCTGTTTCTTTGATTTCATCATTGATTGGTTCAAGAAGGAGCGTATTTCAAAGAATGAAATCTCTCTATTGAAAGGTTGGGTGTTATCTGGTATCCTCTTAAAAAATGCCAGAGATTTGTTGAAATTTAAAATAAAGTAGGCTAATTGGAGGTACTTCTGTGTATTTTATTAGGTGGACTTTGAGTTCATGATAACCTTTTTTCAGGAAGATGCAATAGTAATTTTTGTGTGTTAATCTCCTATCTTTTTTTGTCACAGTGAATTTACTATTCCTTCCTTTGAAATGATTACATTTTCTTTGTGTCTGGAATATTTCTTTGGGCTTTGAGAATAATAGTTATTTTCTAGCTTCTCTTGTTAATTTCATAAGTAAATTCAATTGAAGATTAAATATTTTATTAACCTTTGGAATAATATGGATGGTGTAACTGTTACTTTTGGGTATCGTAACTATTGATTTGATTTGCATTGAGGGCAATTTTCAGGAATACCTAACGATTACATATTCTTATTTCTTTGCCATTGGGTGCAGTTGGTATAGATTAACCTGGCCACCTTATTACTGAGGTGAGTATCTCAGGGTCATCTATAGGTAGTCTGAGAAATTTTGTTGAAACTAGAGATAATTGAACACAGGTGCCATGTTTGATGGGACATTGTTGTATGATTGAATGTTTTTATACTTTGTTTTATGTGAATGCTTTTAGCAATACCAAATAATGTAGAGAAATTGTTTTGATTCTTGTCTTGCAGAATCTCTGGATAAGTGGGAACGTCTCACGGTAGCTGATGCATTGGAACCTGTCCAGTTTGAAGATGGGCAAAAGATTGTGGTGCAGGGAGAACCAGGGGATGAGTTCTTCATTATTTTAGAGGTAATTACTGTACAGTAATACAGTACAGTATTATTGTACTCAGCGTACATAGTAATAAGGGAAAAGTGAACAAATTCTAATTAGTTTTAGGTAGCTTTTGTTTTTAAGAATCCCTAATAATGTTATGTAAAAATTGCCTTTTGCTTTGAAATACAGTATGGGTTTCTGCCAGGCCACTACATTTCACAGAAGTTTGAGTTGTAATTCTGAAAGGTCCCTGGCAAAAATAGCCAAATCCTGACTTAACCAAATCACCGCGTAAGGCAAACAGAACTCAGCCATTTGACATAATGGGCTATGATTCTGTGTCATCCTTGTTAAAATGTGTTTTGGCTATTTGGCAAAGGCCAAAGATAATTATTTAAGTTCTAGAAGTTACTGTTTTATGCCTTTAAAATCCATGGAAATATATAGCAGCTATTTTTGCCTGTTGGGCAGATCCAAATAGCAGATGATTATTTATTTTTAATCTTTTTTTTTTTTTAACGTGCCAGACGATGTATGTGCTTCCCAGAGAGAGAGAGAGGAAGCAGGAGAAACAACCCCTAGATTCAGGGTCATGCTGCAATCCCTGCACCTCCATTTCTCCATCCTGTTGGGATTGGGGTCACACATGCACATGCACCTGGCGTATTTCTCAGTCCACTGGGTCTGGAACTCAAATTGCATTGTTGGCCTTGTAGCATCTGACACCCTTAACCACTAGGCCATGAGGCTGGCACCAAATAGTAGAGTTCTATAAATATGACCCCGTAGTTACTAATTGGTTTTGTTTCAAAACTTAGCATCCGACCTGTACAGAAAGTTTCAGGGATTAGTAGACTTTCTGTACAGGGTCAGATGGTAATTCTCAGTTTTAGGTGTTGTAGACATCAGGTTTTTGTGGCAGACTCAACTCTTGTCATAGTGCAAATGCAGCCATAGCATGTAAGTAAACAGGTGAGGTATTCAAGTCATATGTTATTTATAAACCAGGCAGTGAGCTTAGGGCCGGCCCTTCATCTACAACTCACTAAGCACAGGTAAGTACCTTAGTTTCCTAAGTATATGGCAAAGATGATGGTTACGTAGAAATCAAAGCTCATGTAGTGACAGCTTTTCAGTCTTTTATCATCTGAGCACAGATATGTTGAAATAACTGCTGAATCCTTTTCCCCTGTTTAGGCTGTAGTGTTGCTAAACAGAAACACTTGAGTCTGGGTAATTTATAACAATAGAAGATTATTTAGCTCATGGTTTTGGAGATTCCTGGTCAGGGGCCATACCTGCTGGGAATCATCTTGGTGGGGAAGATGCAGGGGTGTCTTAGGATGAGACAGAGCAGTAGTGTGTCTGTTTTGGTGTCTTTAGAAATCCAGGAGTGTCTAGTCATGGGGGCCCCACCCTGATCTTAATCTTTACCTCTCAACATTACGGTTGGATAAAGTTTTCACCTCTTGATCCTCTCGTGACCAGAACTAAATTTCAACACAAATTTTGGGGGACATATTAAACCCATAAAACACTTCTTCGCAAAGTAGCTAAATTACATAGAATATTTAAAAGCCACGTTGGGTTTGAAAATACTGTTTTTGTTTAGCTTTTTGGTGGTTTTATCATAGGGGTCAGCTGCTGTGCTACAACGCCGGTCAGAAAATGAAGAGTTTGTTGAAGTGGGAAGATTGGGGCCTTCTGATTATTTTGGTATGTGTGGATTCCCTCACAATATATAGAGCTTTTTTAAAGTCAGAGAAGGGATGCTGTTAGCCTTTTATAATTTTGTCTTCTGACTTTTATTTATTTTATTTATGACGGAGAGCAGTGTGTGTGCACATGAGAGAAAGGAGAGTAAGAGCAAGAGAGGGAGAGAAGAACACCCTCAGCAGGGTCCAGTTCTGTCTCAGTCCCTCCTTCTAGGTTGTCAGGGTTTGGGTCACCTGTGGACTTACTCCCCACGTTCCAGCTAGACTGGGTCAGGGATCCCAACCTGTGCTTGGCCATGTGGCTTCCAACACTGCCATGCACCATGCTGCCAGCTGTTCCAGAAACTGATGGCTTAATTGATTTAGTTTTTTGTGGGTCTCAGAGAAATAATGTGGCATTTTGATCTTTAGTCAGTTAACAGTTACTGACTTTTTCCTATCTGTTAGCTTTTTTCCCCTCTTAACTGCAGATGTGGTATGGCCTAAGTTATTAGAAAATCAAGTATTTGTTTTCTTTCTCAGAAGTGCATCTCTGTAAGAAAAGGCTTTCCACAGGAGGGAGCCTCCTCTTACTTTGTCCTCCTCCTCCTCCAGGTGAAATTGCTCTACTGATGAATCGCCCTCGTGCTGCCACGGTGGTTGCACGTGGCCCCTTGAAGTGCGTTAAGCTGGACCGACCTAGGTTTGAACGTGTTCTGGGCCCATGCTCAGATATCCTCAAACGAAACATCCAGCAGTACAACAGTTTCGTGTCACTGTCTGTCTGAGATCTGCCTCCTGTGCCTCCCCTTGTCCTCTCCCCAGTCCACGCTTCACTTACGCAGACTGCTTTATGTTCCCTCTTTGCAGTGCCAAGTGGCCACTGGCATCGCAGCTTCTTGTCTGTTCATATTGAAAGTTGCTTTATTGCACCATTTTTAATTTGGAACATTAACTGAATGCTCGTACACAGTTAAATAAATAGAAAGAGTTCTGTGGAGACTTGGCTGTTACCGCTTCTCTTTGTGCAGCGTTAGATCAGCCTGGGCGGGGAGCGCTGTGCTTCTGGCGAGGGCAGACCCCAGCACAGACGTTTACTGCAGGGTAACACAGCAGTGCAGAGGTTTTAAGCGACATAATTTACCAGTTACGAGCATATTTAGACTGTGGCCAATACATGCTGTATTTCTTTATAGAATAAATGGTTTCTCAGTTAAGTTCTAAGGATTAGAAAAAAATGGATATAGAAAAATCTTAGTATAGTAGAAAAACATCTGTCTGTAATTAAACTAGTTGAGGATGGAAAAATGCCTATTTTTACTAATGATCAGATGGCTGTGATCAGTTTTTCCCCCCCGTTTTAATCAGAATTTCTCTTTACCAAGCTAATATGCCTGGTTTTATTTATGTCGTTATTCTTCCTCTCCAGTTTTGAAATCTTTATAGGTCTGGCCATTTATATATATATCTGCCCTTTAGGTTTCAAACTAAATTATAGATTGCAAATATTGAATTATGATTTAACTACATCTGCCTTAGCTTAGAACTTCTGATTACACTCTTGTTTATTCAGCTAGTGCCAAATATTGATCATCAGATGCTGAATTAAGAATAAAAATTTGAAATCTACATGCTCAGTGGTTAACTCAGAGCTTCTGGTTAATGTGTGTCCTTCAGTTGAGTCCACTATGGTCTCCTCCATTCATTAAACTGATTCCAGGAGATGACATTTGTTGAGAATAGATAGAGATAGAACAAATGTCAGAATAGGACAATGGAGGTGATACTATTAAAGGGAGGAACACCAGGGGGACAAAGTACAGTGTCAGGAATTTCCCCCACTAAATTCATTGGGGAATGAGATTTGGGAAGAATTTTTTTTTTTTACTTTCATTTAACTTTTTTCCTCCTTTTAATGTTAACTATTGATGGAATTTCTGGTGGGTTGTGGGTGGGATACGGTGAAGCGCCTCACACAGGGTGGGCCATAGAGTGTCTGTGTTTCAGATTGGTTTTAAAGGCTGTCCTGCTGA